CCCTGAGTTCAAGCCCCATGACTGACAAAAAAAAAAGGTAACTGGAGCTGTGGCTCAAATGGTAAAGCACTAGCCATGGCAAAAATGCCCAGACACAATGCCTAGGCTGTGAGTTCAATGAGCTCAAGACCCAGCCAGTACTAGTGGAAAAAGGGGAACAAGAAGAAAAGGGGAAAAAAACGTATAAACTATGAAATTAAAATATAGGGAAAATTGTGGTGGTTTAGGAAGCTGAAAACATTTCCCAAGGTTATATTTGTCATCCCACGTCCTCTATGGCTTTGGAGTATGGGGGAATCTGTCACTCCCAAAGGCTTGGAGAATGCATTAAGTAAAACAAAGAAATAGGAATCTCAGATAATTCACAGCTAACATGTATATATTTTTCTCTTATTTACCTCTGCCCTCACAGTATTGAGTGCTAGGAACACACACACACACACACATTTTAGTAGCTGGCTGGAACTATAACCTTGGTGCTACTGAAAGATGAGTAAGCAAGCAAAAGTAAACCCACAGCGTTCTTTCAGAGTTTCCAAATGATCGCTTCACCACTCTCCTTCATTACTCTGCCTCTCATTTAATCAATAAACATTTACAAAACATTTTATTTTTTTTTTTGGTCTGTTGTAAGACTTGAACTCTGGGCATGGGCACTGTCCCTGATCTCTTCAGCTCAAAGCAAGTGCTTTACCACTTGAGCCACAGCGTAGTGGCTAAATTGGAGATAAGAGTCTCCAATTTAATTTCTGTCTGGGCTGGCTTTGAACCGCTATCCTCAGATCTCAGTCTCCTGAGTTGCTAGGATTACAGGTGTGAGCCACAGGCACAGGGCTACAAAACATTTTATAAAGGATACATATATTTGCTCATAGTAGTAACTGTCCCCATCCCATTCAGTTTCACTTGGCAGACTGAATTCAATAAAAGGGAAATTCCAGAAATAAGTAATTCATTAGATTGAAGTGTGTATTTTAGAGTAGACTGATGAGTTCTCAAGACATGAATCATCCCTTTGTCTAGCATATACATACTGTATATGCTACATATCTACTAATCACCATAGTAGCTGTCTCAGCTGTCAGATTGACTTATTATTTTGCTATGGGATTGTGTTCCTGAAGCCCTTTACTTAGCAGTGGCCCTAAAGCACAAGAACTATGATTCTGGCAATTTTATCACAGGATATTCTTATATGTTTCTATTTTATTATTAGTTGTTAGCAATATCTTAAGTGTGCCTAGTTTATAAATTAAGCTTTATCTGTATGGGAAATGATATATTTTTAATGCTATCTGCAATTTCAGGAATGCATTTGGGAGTCTTGGAACATACACATACCTCATAGATAAGGAGATGCTACTGTATAGCAATTTGTTAAAAACTATTGTAAGCTAAGCACAGCAGTTGTTATCCTAGCTACCTTGGAAGCTGAGGTTAAGAGTACTGCAGTTCAAGTCCAGCTTGGGCAAAAAGTTCATGAGACTACATTTCAACTAACAAAAAGTTTGGCATGGTGATGCATGCCTGTTACCACAGCTATTTGGGAAACATAAATAGGAGGATCTGGCCTAGGCAAAAAGTGAGACCCAGAACTGGAGATGTGTTTCAAGTCATAGCCTTGAGAAAAAAAAAGGGGGAAATTACAAGCCAAGAGTTCAAGCCCCAGTTTCAGCAAATAGGACTGTAGGTCAAGTGTTAAATAAGTAAGTTAAAAAGAAAAGGTAAAAGTAAAAAAGTTAAGAATGAAAAAAAATGAATAAATGAGCAAATCAATCAAAGTGGTAGAAAGAAGCTATAATAAATATTTGACTTCGCTCAGATAAGCAAGAGTTGAAAAGGTTTATCCTTGTTATGTGCTAGGAATTCAAGCTCAAACATATTTTGACCAATACTCAGTTAACAAGAGAAGAACAAAAGTAAGCCTATGAATAACCAAAACAGTGCAGTAGCTGTAGTGGAAATGTTTGCCTCGAATCAGTGTTTTAACAATTCTGTTCATGGGTCAGAGGAAAAGAGAAATCATGGGTTCAGACCTCAGAATTATCAAGCATAAAAAATTTACTCACTTAGAAAAGAACATTTTTTGCATATAGAAGGACAAAGCCAGAGACATGAATAGACCAGTTAATATAAGGCAGGTACTGGTGGTTCACTCCTTCATTCCTAACTACTATGGAGGCTGAGATCTAAGAATCACAGTTTGAAGCCAAGCTGGGCAGGAAAGTCTGTGAGACTCTTGTCTCCAATTAGGTCTAAAAAAAGAGCCAGATGTAGAGCTTTGGCTCAAATGGTACGTGCTACCCTTGAGGAAAAGAAGCTTGGGGACAGTGCCCAGGCCCTGAATTTAAGCCCCAGGAATGGCACAAAATAAACAAACAAAAACAGTTAATATCAATAGCACCGATAATTTAATCATGAGGAACACAAAATACAAGACCTTTATTAATAGTGGGTTCATTTTAAGCTAAATAAGGATAAAGGATCTTTTATCTCATAAGGATATGGAAAGGACTTTAGGCTAGGTATGATAATAAATGGCCATTTGGGAAATAAATATGTGGAAAATAGATTAGGAAGCGATATGAAATAAGCAAGGGATGAAGCAAGGCAGAGGTTTTTACAGAAACATATACTCATAAATAAGTAGACGCTATTGTACAACAATTGTTAAAAAGCTTTGGCAATGAGTATGAGAGTCGTAAATAAGGAAGTGTGTATACAGAAAGAAGAACGTCCATATAGACTGTGAGGATAAGAAAGTAAAAATTATAATACCAGTTACTGACTCAGATGAATATAGAGATCAAAAGATACTGTGATTTTTCTGATGAAGCAAGGAAAGGGTGTAGGAGGAAAGGGCCAACTCTAAAAGGCAGTTTGTGGGGGGAGAAGGCAGTTAAGCTGGTATGAACCCAGGGTACTTACTCTACCACTACCATTTGAGCTACACACCCAACTCTAGAAGTCAGTTTGAAATTTTAACAGAAGCAAAGAATGGTGAGTCTAGACCATAATATTAGACAGACCACTCATACTGACATTTAAGTCAGTGACACATGTTAAGGATAGTGAAGGTTGTTGATTTATGAGGGTGTTAAAGGAAACGTAGTGGCAGATCATAGAGTGGTTAACTATCAGAAAGGAATACAACAGGTATGAAGGAAGAGACTAAGAAAAGCAGCATTATGTAAGCTAAGGGATTGTTCACAAGTCTCCTAAACTTTCCTAAAGACTTACTAATCACTAAAAAAAAAAAAAAGTAATGAATTTCTCCCAAGATAATGTAAATATCCAGTATCTTAAAGATATTCTTGATGTGGAAAATACCATACATGGTGAGGCTTTTGGGAAATTATACTGTAATACCAGGTATGTTTCATAGTCCTGCATCCAACCCTTAATATTTACAATTTGATCAAAGCACAGCATGTGAATTTTTTTCTGGTCACTAAGTTACCTTAAATGACTTTGCTAAAAAACTGAAAGACCATGGAATCACCAGCTTGAGGACAAGTTTTTCAAGTTATCTCTAATACACTCAAAATCCCAAAACAATATGAGCTCCTTTTCATTTTTTGTAAGTTATGTGGCTTGAACTCAGGGCCTGGATGCTGTCCCTGAGCTTTTTTGCTCAAGGCTAGCACTCTACCACTTGACCCATAGCTACACTTCTGGTTTTCTGGTGGTTAGTTGGAGATAAGAGTCTCATGTACTTTCCTGCTTGGCTGGCTTTGAACAACAATCCTCAGATCTTAGCCTCCTGAGTAGGATTATAAATAGGAGCCACCGGTGCCAGGCCTATTTTTCTTCTTTTACATAGCATTCCCCTTCAAGCAAAATGCATGTGAAGGAATATATAATATTTATTTAAACTGCAAGTGATCTTGTAAATGAATTTAAAAATTAAAAGCTTTTACAAATCATTTTATTAGCATTCTGTGCTATTTTACCGTAATTTGAATTTAAAGCTCATTGTGTGTTGATTTTCTCATGTTTAACAGACAATACTCCTGTTCAGTCTTCCTAGATTTTGTTACCTAAAGAGAAAATTTTAAATGCTCTAAAAATCAGTTCAGTTGGATACAACATGAAATTCATAAAATATTTTGGAACTAAAATATTCTGTTATTTTAAAATTAGGTAAACTACAGACAATGAACAGTAGGGGGCACAAAAATAAAAAATTACTACAAACTGCTACAATTAAGGATCATATACTAGAAGATGATTATGATTATGCCTCTGTGTGCATGTGTGTGTGTGTGTGTGTGTGTGTGCGCGCACACACACTTGCTCCAGTACTGGGGCTTGAAATTATGTCTGGGTTCTGGACCTTAGCTTTTCCCTTCCAAGACTAGTGCTTTACCACTTTAACTAGAGTTACAACTTCTGGCTTTTGTTAAGTCTAACATACTTTTCTTATTGGGCTGGCTTTGAACAGGACTGCCAAGCAACAGGATGATACAGCATATAACAATGTAAAATTTCAATTCAAAAAGGAAAAATATGGATTGATAAATTCATTATATTTTTTAAAGTTGTAAGTCATTAAGAAATAAATTAGCTTATTTTATATTGAACATTAAATGTGTTACAGATGGATGTAATCTGAATTTTAAGATATTCATGAAAATAGTAGAAAAATCAAATGAATATTATAGAAAAAAATTATGTACTTTTTTTTTTCTTTTATGTCAGTTGTGGAGTTTAAACTCGGGGCCTGGGCTCTGTCCCTGAGCTCTTTTGCTCAAAGCTAATGCTCAACCACTTGAGTCACAGCACCACTTCCAGCTTTTTCTGAGTAGTTTATTGGAGATAATCTCACAGACTTTCCTGCAAGGGATGACTTTGAACCACAATCCTCAGATCTCAGCCTCCTGAGTAGTAGGATTACAGGCATGAGCTAATGATGTACTCTTTTAAACATGAAAATGATAGCAATATCTCAAGACAATTTTGGAAATGATAGTTTCTTTTTAATAGACTAAGACAAAGTGACTTTTGGACAATAACCTTTATTAGTGTGTTTTCCAATTACATATAATCCTGAGCTACTGTATTTATACATTTACCATTTGGTCTGTGACATTTACATGGATTTTGCTCTAAACTCTCTGATGAGTACATTTTCATATTAGTAAGGAACACAAATAATTTTAAATATCAGTTTTATCCCTGGAAACGACAGTTATTTTACTTAGACATTGCATGATCTAATTCTATATGAAAGACTTTAGAGCATTACTTTTTAAACAACTTTTTCAAAACTGCAAAAACGGGCAGTGCAAGAGCTGATTCCATAATCTTAGAGAATTCTTAGAAAACTATGCCGCTATTTGTCTTTGATCTATTTCCTTGACTAAATTCAGTAATCATCTGAACAGTCATACTTGAGAAAAATGGTTAAGATTAATTCTAACCTTTAACATTTTAGCTAGTGCAAAATATCTAGGCTCCCATCACATCTAAGTGGTGCACAGTTATCCCAACAAGAAAAATACTCTAATTACGAAGGAGTAAACCCAAAGTAAATGTATCTTACTTAAGTGGTTAAGTATTATAAAACATGTTACGTGAAATACTTCCACCAGTCTATAAAGGAATACATATGACCTATTAACATTAACTCAATAAATCCAGAGCAGATGTTTAACTGGTAAATAAAAAGACAAAAATAATGAAAAGCAAAAAAATCCTGTGAGCTTTGAAAAAAAATTTTATCCAACATCTCTGTGGGCAAATAAATATTTTTCATTCTTGTATTTTACATTACTACCAAAATATTTTATCTTTCTACAAACAAGACAAAATGAGCATACAGTATCTAGAAATGTTTCTCTGACAAGAATGCCAAGTTTTTGAAAGTACACTCAATTTTTTTTTCCTGAATAAGGTCATTATAATCTTAGGTTTAAATTGCTGTAAGCAGTTCAGGCAAAAATAATGCATATTGCTTTGTTTTAAAAGCAAGCAATGTTAATACTGCTTAACTAAAACATAAGTATAAATGCAAAACTATTGTAGAAACATTTATAAATACCTCTTGGTAATAGTCACAGATTGGCAAGTAATGGAATAATGACTGAGACCCATAGCAAAGGGGTAATATATGGTGTTTAGTGACAAATCTGAAAGTATCTTTAATAGATTAAAATAACATAAACACACAGCTTTATTTTTCTGAGTTTGAAAACCTAGCAGCAAAACAATTTGCATATAACATAGTGCAATGAGCATTTGTCCAGAAAAGACTCCCAAAGTCTTGAAACTAGTTTACATAAACCAGGATGGAATCCATTAGGATAAATGATTTAAACATGTCCAGAGTAGCTTATCAAGAACTGTGAGACACTCTCACCTGCCATCACCGAATCAGAGGCCAGCCTATGCAAAACTGTGTTCTGGATAACTGACTCTTATGGCTCCCCAGTAACAAGCTCGGATAAGGCAGATCAAACCTAAGAGATATGCAATTGCCCAAGAAACATAGGTTGCATGGAATCGCCTTGCAAAGTCTTGGGTGCCAACCTAAAACAACAACAACAAAATATATATATAAATATAAGATTAGAAACTTAAAGAAAATATAGCTTAGAGAACCTTGTGTTGGCTTGTATGTGTGTGATTTGTGTGAAGCATAACCTCAAACTGAACTTTCAACATCCCTATAACCTGATTTTATGCCTGCAGACATTACTACTACTTATATTAACTATTGTTTTTTGTGCTACTGGGGTTTGAACTCAGGTCTCCAGCTTACTAGTCAGGTGTAACCTCTCCAGCTTATTTTGCTTTAGTTATTTTCCAGGTAAGTTATTATGTTTTTTGTTCTGAGCTGGCCTAAATTGTATCTTTCTTAATTAAACTTCACTTGTATCAGGCACCACCACCACCCAACTTTTTGTTGAGATGATATCTGGTTCACTTTTTGCCTAACCACCATTTTCCCTATTTCTGCCTTCAAGTAGCAGGAATTACAGGCATAAGCTACCCTGACTGAACTTAAATATAAATTTTATGAAATAAATATAACAAAATACACACAGAGCCAACCATGATAGTGTACTCCTGCAGTCCCAAACTTGGAAATCTGAGGCAGAAGGAACATGAGTTACAGGTCAATGCAGGATACACAAAATTTTGTCTCAAAAAATTAAAATATTCTTAAGAAAGCCAGGCACCAATGGCTCATGCCTATAATCAAAACTACTAGGAAGGCTGAGCGCACACACACAATCTAAAATAAGTTACCTTTGAATGGCGTTTAATTTATGTAACTCAATATCATGTGACCTAGTGAGACACTGTTAATAATATGGAATCAGATATACTGACTGGGGAACACAGTAAGAAGAGCAAAGTGGCAGCAAAAAGGTCAGTCCCTTCTTTGTCTGGCATAACCCTCATGCCAAGTGGTTAGCTTCTGTCTTCCCTAAAAATAACCCATCCTCCTACTGGTAATGATTCTCTGTTTGATATGGGATGTGGATAAAGAAAATGATTTTTCAGACTTTGTCATTTTGTTGGTTCTGCTCTACAAATGGGCTTTTGTTAACTGAATGGCACATTCCCAAGTTTTTAATAACTTTGACAAAGGTCCAAGTACTTTTTTATCTAGGAGGGCAAATTCCATTTAAAACAGGTCAGCACACAATAAAGCCCATTATTTTGTCTAATAATAGTCTAATAAGGTATTTTTAAATCATTAATGAACAAAAAAAAATCAGGTTTCTGACTGCCTGTAGTTTTTGTTTGTTTGTGTGTTTGTTTTTAAGGTGGTAGACCCCCATATGCCAGGAAGGCAACCTTCTCAGAAATGACTGATATGTTGTCTCAGTCCCCAGGCTGACCGCAGTAGGTAACGTTGAGAGGGAAGAATTCTAATAGTAAAGTAGTACTCACAGTTAATCCGACACCAATGAAAATACAGATCATTCCGATGGTAATATAAGCACAGCAGCGTCTTCGAGGAAGTGCACTACCTACAGAAGAGCTGCAAATCATGCAAAAGAAAGACATCACTAAGAACGTGTGGCCAGTGTCAAGATCATGCTTAACTTGGTAAAATATCTCAAGGAACGTTTGTCAAATAAAAAAAATTACAAGACTGGATCACATACTAGAAAAAATTGATAAATGTGCTTCCTTGGAGATGTTCTAATTTTGCATAAGCACTAGTTTTAATCACTCAAATTTTGTTAAATCATTAAATCTACTGCAAATATACATCATAAATTTTCCTCAGTACTTGAACGACAATGTCAACATCTAGATGACCCAGAGGCCACCATTAATCACCATCTTACATGTTGCTATCTGAAGTTGTTAGGACATGTAGAATTCATTATCTTTATGTCATGTTTGGCTTAGACTACTTTTTTAAATTTTTCAATATATATTTTTTATTGTAAAGATACTGTACAGAGGGGTTATAGTTACATGAGTAAGGTAATGAGTCCATTTCCTATCAAGCATTGTTACCCCCTCCTTTGTTTTTCCCCTACCATCCCTTTGCTCCCCAATACCTCCTTCCCCTTCCCACTCCTCCCTCTTTCCCCCCTGCAAAATTTAAAGTTCGTTTTCAACATAGTGTCTTGTACATCTTGTTGTTACAGTGGGTCATCCTGTATCCTTATTTCAGCATTTTGCTATTTCCCTTCCCCTCCCCAAATTAGAAAAATGTATATACAAGATGTAGGACACCAGAATCAAATACAGTGACAACAGGGGTTATACCATGAGGGAAGAACATACAAAGAAACAAAAAAAATCACATAGTACATTATAAGTTCATTAACAAGAACAGCAAGAAAGATAAAATCTCTTGTGTCCCTAGACTACTTTTAAATTGAATCCCTATACATCCAGTTAGTGGTTTCATTCTTGACTCATGGCTAATTGTTTTTCATTACTATCTAGATATCTGTCTCTCGTAGCCTACTATATCCTAAACCAACCAAGTTTTTTAGAACCACATATTGAAGAAGTCTCAGGTTCTATGTGAACATTAGAGTACCTTTTCTGTGAGCCAAGAGAATAATTTGAGTGCATTAATCTCAGTATGTGAATTTTGCTTAGCAAATGCATGTCCTTTTTTACACTTAATTACTACTTCTGAGAAATCTCTCAAGAGGAAAAAAGGAAGTACTGTTACTCCATGACCCAAGTGCCATCCCAACAAAAGGGTAAAGCAACAACCTACAAATGTCTTATTGCACAGATACCAAACTCTCATATTTAACTTACATATGATTCTATAAGCAAGATACAGGATTATTTTGCCTATGGTAAAACTTAATGTGACCGGTGGCTCATTCCTGCACTCAGAAGGTTGAGATCCAGAAGATGACAGGTCAAGGCAAATCCAGGCAGAAAAGTCCATCTCCAATATAATCAGCAATATCAGGGCTGGACACATGGCTCAAATGTTAAGAATCCCAATCAAGCAAGCAAATTAAGCAAGCATGAGATCGTGAGTTTAAATCCCAGTACCATAAGAAAAAAGAAAGTAAGAAATGATTAATAGATGTGGTTTGGACTGTATGTTGCCATGGCTTGTTCCTTTTTTTCAATACCCTAGATGAGAATGTACATATTAGTATGTGAAGATCTAGCTATCCATTTTCATAATTGCATTTCATTTATGAGTATAATTGTTTACTTATCTGTTAATAAACCTTCAGATTTTTCTTAATATTTTATTGTAACAGTGTTGCTTTTAATAACACTTGCTAATATATGAAAGAATTTATCAAACATACATTTAGGAATAGAATTGCTGGGTTGTACATATATGTATATATCCATATATATGTATATTTTAATAAAGACCACATCCATTTATGCATATGTACACATACATTCTCAATTTTGACACTTCCTTTCTCATTTTTAACTATTTTATGGATGAGAATAGTATTTCATAAGTTTTAATGTGCAGCCATGGTTTCTAGCAAGGGTGAACATACATCTTTTTAAATGCTAGCTAGCTATTTTTTCTTTTTCTATCAAATGCTCATTTACATCTATTGTCCCTGCCTTAGGCTATCTTTTGTTTAATCATATACTTAATTAATGTGGCTGAGTACTGTTGACTCATTCCTATAATCCCACCTACTTAGAAGGCTGAGATGCAGAAGATGGAAGTTCAAGGCAAACCCAGACAGAAAAGTCATCTCCAATATAATCAGCAATATTAGGGCTGGAGACATGGCTCAAGTGATAGAATAATCAAGTGGTGATATTTATATAATCTAGATACTATTCCTCACAGCTCTGCACTCTGCATATATCTTATTAGAGTCTGTGGTTTAAAAATAATTTTAATATCTTTTGGTGAAGAGTTTTTATTAACAAAATCACCATAGAGAAAGGAAATTCTAATCTAGACATAATTACCTATTGCTTCCCTTAGGATTTTCAATTTTGACCTTATATGGAAAATTCATTCCTAGCTCTGTTATAAAAATATATTTTAAAAGTATCAACATTTGTCTTTTATATTTATGTCTTGCTCCATAAGAACATCGACCTTATAATTATCATTCTTATTTTATGTTTGGTGCACAAAAGCACAGAATTTATGTTTCTGATGAAGTGATAACAGTAATAGTTCCTTTTATGCAGAGGGAAAAGTAGAGTGCTTGCTACAATAGAGAAGTCTGAACTATAATTTGTTTCCCTAGCATATAAAATACAAACATAAATTTTGCAGCCTAGAGTTGATAAACATCTCAGTTCTGTGATATACCAGCATTGTCTGACTCAACACAGAAACAAGGTTCTGCCATACTTGCCTATTCCAGGAAATTAGAAGAGGAAAGAGTAAAAAAATCAAGCAATTCTCCATTAGAGACTGGAAGGAAGTTATACTTAATATTTTTTGTTCACATTCAATTGTCTATAACCTAAACACATGGCCACACCCCCTGCAAGGAATGCTAGGAAATGTCTCTAGCTGGGTAGCTATATACTGCAAAATCTATTACAGCAACAAAGAAGAGCATCATCAGAGCCAGGAACTGGTAGTTCACATCTGTAATTCTAGCTACTCCAGAGGCTGAGATCATAGGATCAAGTTTAAAGCCAAAAAAGTTTTCAAGACTCCATTTCCTATTAACCAACCAAATGTCAGACTGGAGGCTTGGCTCAAGTAATAGAGCATCAACTATGACCCAAATTAAAAATCAAACAAAAGATCACTAGATGTCAGCTTGATCTTGGATTTCCATTCTTAGCTCCTTTCCTCCCCCATCCCTCTCTTTGTCCTTCTCCCTCTTCAATACTGGAGATGGAAGACACACCTCCTTGTTTGATAGACAAGTGCCCTACCACTTGAGCTATCACTAGAAATGATTTTCGATTCCTGATCTTAGATTCCTCTCTCCCATCAATACTGTAGATTGAACCCAGAGCTACTTGCTTGATATGCCCTACAGTCTTTGTACTTTTGCCCTTTCTACTTGCCATTCTGCCTCCACCTCCTGCATAGGCATCCTACTCCTGCAAACTGCAAGCACACAATATTTGACTACATTAAAAGCAAATGGATGAATACAGTGGGATTTTAGGGCAAGGTTAAGACGTGAATAGGAGGAGGAGTGAATAATCTTAGCTGATAATAGTCATATTGTTGAGATATGAAAAGAATTTTATTCAAGAAGCAATCCTGTCAGGAAAGGTTTCTTCAGATGAACAGTAAAAGCAAGAGATATTTCAGCTAAATGGTGAAGTTAAATAATGTTTTACACTTAGGCAAGAATAGGAAGAGACTAACCAGGAACTGCAGGTCTTGCAGGATAATACTACTCTCCTAATAAAGAGATCTCTGAAGGCAAAAAAAAAACTGAGTGACAGAAACAAGATACCATATAATACTCAATGGAGGTAGAAGACTGTTGAGTCTGGGACACAGGAGGTTATGTTGTGTAAATATGGAAGAAAAACATCTCTAGAAAAGCCCAGTAAAGACATAAGCCTGGCAGATTTTATCTACATTGCTAAGAAGTTTGAAGTTTAATTCCGGACTTTAGGCATTGGGTGTATAGTAGAACACACAGTACATTACTGCCCAAAGGGAAAAAGAAGTTTTTTCCTCAAAACAATATACCAACAAATAAAGGAGAAGCTGAACTGATAAGATATTAGCATCTAGATATGGGGAAGAAAGAAATGATTTCTGTTATCACCTGAGTAAACAGATAACTTTGGCTGGTATATTCACTAACACATAGGAAACTTAGTTTGCAGAATAGGGTAGGAAATTATTCATGGTGTGTTTGAGATGCCAATGAGATGCTAGGTTAAAATGGTGATGTGTGAGGTAACCAACAGAGACTGTATATCGATATTTTAAGTTCCAAAGAGAGATTGGAGGTGGTTTTGATAAATAGATGATAGTGGCATATGAGAAATTCAGACATTAGGTAGTTAACTCTCAAACTATGGACAGTAAAGGAAATGAGACCAACAAAGGCAATAACACAGAGGATTGTTCTGAGATATGGGAAAAGCTCAGGAGAAAGCAGTACCTAAAAAGCAAGGAAAAAACAAATTTTAAGGAAAAAAACAATCAGGATGATCAACATAACCAATTGCTTAGAGGGAAAAAAAGCAGGATAAAGACTAATCTATTTGAATTTGCAATTGGGATATAAACTTCTTCAGAGCAAATTCAGTGACATAGTGGGGATTGATAGTTAATTGTGCTTTGTTCCAGAGAGAGTACAGAATCATGATCAAATGAAGGCATACAACTTGAAGACATCTGCTTACTTATGAGAAGCAAAAGGGAAGTAGGCACAGAGACAGGAAGTGTGAACCTACAGGAATTCATAGCCCAATCATCGTTAGGGGATTGGGAATAAACTCTCACAGAGCCTGGGAGAGTTAGGGGATTTGGGAGGCAGGTGTTTTAACAGAAATAAGTATCTAGAGATTGTTGTTTTGGAGAGTGATAAAAGGAGTTAAGTGAGCAGTTTTAGAAGGTGTTTA